AACAAAAGCAAAAGCAAAAGCGGGCAGCCCCCGCCTTCATCTTTCTTTGCCTCCATCCGCTCGAGAGGCGACGACGACAGCCCGCTTCCCGCAAGCAGCAGTAGCAGGGCGGACGTCCGCGAGCGACGACGCCCGCCCCACTCGCACCTCCGACGCGCCGCCACCTCCACCGTCCGGCGCCCCGAGGACACCGCAGCGGCTCGACGGCGGAGGCCGCCCGGAGACGCCCACGCCCACGCGAATCTCCACCCGGGGCGAGACGCGCTCGCGAAGGCGCTCGTCGCCTCCCCGGAGACGACGCCGACCACGCTGCTGCGCCGCTTTTGCGCGCGCACACGTACATCGCGCGCCTCTTCTCAAGAACGACGAGGCGGCGACCGGAGCAGCGCGCCACGACGCGACGCCCCCAAGACCCCTCCAGCCCAAAAACCCCATCTCCCCCCCCCAAAAAAAAAAAAAAAACGCACGTAATCGCAGCGAACATGAGCTGATAGATGCAGAACACGATGCTCGGGATCCTTGCGGACCCGATCGACGGCTTTTCGAGGACGCCGCGCAGGGCGAAGTACTGGGGGGGGGGCGTTAGCGAGCGGCGGGGGTAGCGAGTAGGCGAGGACGGGGAGAGGGAAGCAGACAGGAGGGATGGGAGGGAGGGGGCGGCACGAGGAAGGGCCAGCGGCGCCACAAGGCGAAGAGGACCCCGCCCGTCAGGTGCTGCACCCGCTCGTCGGCAGCTCCCGGGAGAAGCGGTCCCGCCCACCACCGCCCCACCACCATCCCCGGCGGCCGACGCGCGAAACGATAACTCGGACTAGAACTCGCTGCTCACCTTCAAATCCCCAATATACGCACTCCCCGTCTCGCTAAATGCGAGACTGAATCCCCAGAAGAACCACTGAAAAGACACCACCGCGACGGTCATCATGCTCAGCCAAATCATGCTGAGCGCATTCTTGCGGCGGAGGAGGCCCGAGTAGAAGAAGCCGACACCAGGAATCATGATCCAGACGAGGGCCATCGACGCGAGGACCTGCGGGGTGTGAGCGTATGAAGAGGAGGGAGGGAGGAGGAGCACACACCCAAGCAATGTCGCCCAGATTATAGACATAGAGCTTCCCATCGTCGGGGTCGACCCAGTTCATGTCGCCCGAGGCATCATAGGTAATATCCAGCGCGCGCGCTGCGAGCTGGTGCAAGTACGTGTCTGACATGCGAGGACGGGAAGAAGTCGCACCAACCTAGTGTCATTCCACATTTATATTAGGAAGCCTCGGCAGAACCGAGCCCCGCTGTTATCGCCCAATCACAGCCCGTGCCTCAGCAACGTGACTAAGCGCCCAGCATTTGATCCATCTCGATCGTTTCCGCCCACATCTAGGCCGGCCGACAAACCCGTAGATAGGGTCAACGTTGGGTCTGCCGTACCTCGTCCAATTCACGTTTATTTCAGCCTTAGAGTGAAATTGGAGAGGGAAAATGGAATGGAATGGGAGGCTGAAACGCCAGGCTGAGGAAACGAAACGCACCACAGCGGTACTGCTGTAACGACAGCTGCTTGTCCTAGCCTGTTTGTCCATTCATTGAACGGCCAAGAACAAAACGGCGCGATAGCATGAATACGCCTCGACACGTACGATCACGGACAGACAGACAGCCATCGTCCCCTTGATATCCATTCATTGAATCATATCCGGTGCCTACCGTGCCAACGACAACGCGCATCCATCATCGACGCGCCTGCCGATGCCTCTGCGAATGGAAGCCGGACGCCGACTTGACTCCGGCGCCAACAATATCAAGAATGTGTCCTCGTTCTGGGGTTAACCCAGGCATAGCTGTTAACTTCATCAACGACCCCCGCTTCGTATCCAAGCCGCTTGTCGGACGGGCTAACCAAACGCGTTTATGTCTATTCCGTCCGACGTCCCCCCGCCTTATTCCCTCCTATTCCCTTCCTTACGGTTTACCTTCCCGATTCCCTCCCCGAACCCACCTTGCACGCCGATCCTAACCCAAAACGCCGCTCCACGCCAAGAGCTTAACACCCCGCACTCGCTGGACAGGTGGGATGGATGGAGGTTGGAGCAGCAATCACAGAAGCACCTCCATGTGGGGCGAATACCCCTTCCGTCCCCTTCTTCCCACCTCTGCCCACCAGCTTCTCCCACAGCCACGTCGACACTCTCCCACGTCTTACACAAGTTCTGAGCTTCCATCCCAGGTCCCGTCACCAACGTCAAAGTATGTAGGTGGGTGAGAAATTAAGAACGCCCACCGCGCTCCCACACCCATGCTGCACACATCGGACCCCGGCCCGCGTCCCTCCTCCTCCTCAACGTATTTATATGTATATTCGCACCCCACGCCACCGACCGTCTTTCCACGATCATGAACGTGCTTACGGTAGATCCCGCGTGTCTTCAATAACAATAACAACAATAAATCAAGTTCGCTGCAGTGCGCAAGTGACTCTTGAGCGCCGGGAAGGGATGAAGAAGTGAGCAAAGGGAAAAAATAAAATAGCAGACTAAAAAGAAAGGAGAAGTGGCGGGTTTGGTGCGGGCGAGGGAAGGGAAGGGATTGGGTTGGCAACTTGGGACGCGGGGAGTCGAACCGATCCCCGCCCTCCCCGCCCGCTGCTCGCGTATATGCGAGACGAGGAGCGAGGCGGGAAAGCAGCTGGGCATCCCACACCGCTCCCTTTCGTTCTTCTACTTCCACCTCGAATGCAGTTCAGGGAGCATGAGTGAAAAGAAAACAAAAGTAACCACTAAGGAAATTAATTAGGATGCGGGGAGTCGAACCCCGGCTTGCTGCTGGCTTATATGATCTCAGCCCGCGACCAAGGAAAGGCAGCGGTGCACCGTGAACTACGTCCCTTGCCTCCCTCCAATTTTAACTCAAAGAAACACAAACATTTCGCTGAGTCCGAGCAAAAAAAAGACAGTGCTTCCGAAAGACACATGGGGACGCGAGGAATCGAACCCCGACCTGCTGCCAGGGAATTCATATTTGTAGCAAGTTCGGCAGCTGTGCACCATGCACCACATCCCCTCCTTTCCTCTAATTCCAGCCCAAATAGATTGTGGACTTTGGTTGGTGCCGAGGTACAAAAAAGATAATGGGGGACCCGGGGAATCGAGCCCCGGCTTGCTGCCTGCTCACTTTTCAATCCTACATAGAGAGGAAGCGGTGCACTATACACCACACCCTTTCCTTTCCTCTAATCTTGACTCGAAGAAGTAGCCCACATCTAGTGAATGTGAGCAAAAAGAAAGCCTGTCCGAAACAGTAGTGGGGACACAGGGAATTGAACCCCGGCTTGCCGCCGACAGTGTCTTGTATTGATAAGTGAAGCAGCCGTGCACCATACACTACATCCCATCCCTCCCTCTAATTCCAACACAAACACCTACCAGATTTCGATGGGTGTGCAACAAAAAAAAGGAACATTATAAACGCGAATGGGGACCCGGGGAGTCGAACCCCAGCTTGCTGCTTGATTACACCATGTCTGTCGAAAGGAAGGCAGCCGTGCACCGTACACCACATCCCCTCTGTCCCTCTAATTCCGACACAAACACCTACCAGATTTCGATGCGTGTGAAATAAAAAAAGCATCACCACAAATGTGAATTGGATGCGAGGAGTCGAACCCCGTCTTGCTGCTTGTTTATCCCGAAGATCCAAAGGCGATAGAAAGCAGCCGTTCACCGTACAACACATCCCCTCTCCTCTCCTCAAATTTCAACTTGAATACATGGTAGACTTTGGTTAGTGCCGAGGCTACAAAAAAGGGTGGATAGAGGTTAACAATGGGGGACACGGGGAGTCGAACCCCGTAGTGCCGCTTGTTTATATGTCTCAAGCCAGCGACCAAAGAAAGCAGCCGTGCACCGTACATCACATCCACATCTTACCTCTAGCTTCGACTTGAAGAGACAACACACTTCGGGGAGCATGAACAAAATAAAATTCTACACCAATGTGTAATAGGGACGCGGGGAGTCGAACCCCTCCGGCTGTTTACCTATTCAATCCTAGATGAAGAGAGGCAGCCGTGCACCATACACCACACCCCTCCTTTCCTCTAATTTCAGCCCAAATAGATGGAGACTTTGGTCGGTGCCGAGGTTATAAAAAAGGGTGGATAGAGGCGAATAATGGGGACACGAGGAGTCAAACCCCGTCTTGCTGCTGAGCTATTTGAATCTATGATAAGAGAGGCAGCTGTGCACCGTACACCGTACACCACATCCCCTCCTTACCTCTAGTTTTGACTCGAGGATACAGCACACTTCAGGGAGCATGAACAAAATAAAATTCTACACCGATGTGTAATAGGGACGCAGGGAGTCGAACCCCGTCTTGCTTTCTCAACTTCCAGCAAACACCATACACTACATCTCCTTGCTTTCCTCTAATTTGACTCAAATACATACCAGACCCTTGATCTGTGTACTAAAAGGACACGGCGTGCTAATGGGGACGCGGGGCGTTGGACCCCGTCTTGCTGCCTGCTGAGCACATCCCCACCTTACAGGAAGGACAGCCATGCACCGTACACCACACCCCTTCTCACAACTAAATTTCAACCCTGATACATATCGGATTTCAATGGGTGTGAAATAAAAAGGAACATCCCAAATGTGAATGGGGACACAGGGAGTCGAGCCCCGTCTTGCTGCTTGCTTAAATCAGTGGGTCACAAGAGAGGTAGCCGTGCACCGGACACTACATCCCTTCCTTTCCTCCAATTCCAAGACAAACACCTGCCAGATTTCGATGTGTGCAACAAAAAAAGGAGCATTATCAACGGGAATGGGGACCCGGGGAATCGAACCCCGACCTGCTGCTGAGCTATTTCAATCGTGCTATCCACGACAGGAGAGGCAGCTGTGCACCGTACACTACATTCCTTGCATCCCTTCACTTTCAACTCGAAGAAATAGCAGAGCTTCGCGGGTCCGAGCGAAAAAAAAAGGGGTCCCAAAGAAGAATGGGGACGCGGGGAGTCGAACCCCGTCTTGCTGCTTGCTTATATGTGTCAGATCAGCGACCGAAGAAAGCAGCCGTGCACCGTACACTACATCCCCTGCATCCCTTCAATTTAAACTCGAAGCAATACCAGAGTTTGGTGGGTCCGAGCGAAAGAAGATGTTTCAAGAAGAACGGGGACACGGGGAGTCGAGCCCCGTCTTGCCGCTTACCTATCCACTCCTACTTAAGAGAGGCAGCCGTGCACCATACACCACACCCCTTTAATACCTCTAATTTTGAATCGAATACATAGCGGACTTCCTAGAGGTCAGGACAATACCAAGAAAAATAATTTGAGGCAAAAAAATAGAGCAGGATGCAGGGGGTCGAGCCCCGTCTTGCTGGTTCTGGAAGATCTCATGTCTAAGGAAAGCACCACACACCACGCCACTTTCCTTCTTCTATTTTCAACCCGAACAAATAGCTGAGTTTCGTGGGTCCCGGCCCAAAAAGAAACTTGTGAATCGCAGGACAAGGCCCCGCTCTTCCAAAAGAACTCACCTCCGATGCGTTACGGGAATACTTGATAAAGCTCTGGGCTGAATATGCGCAGGCTCGCCCCGGCATCACAAGTGTTGTGGAATTCATGGGAGAGCTCTGCGGCGCAACGACGGAAGACATGGAGGAACCGGCTGCCCGTATACACAAGCAGCTCTGCAGCCACCAGGTCGGAAATATGTGCCAGAACCTCACTCTCAATCTGTACAAGGGATCTTCAGCAGAAACTGGGTCAAGCTCTTCGTACACCTCTACGAGCTCCAGTTTCTAGAGCCGGAACTTCCCGCGCAGGTTCTTCATTCCAAAATCCTCAACCGAGGTTCGCTTCATGCTTGCATGCAGACACGCGCAGCTGATCAAAGTCGTTGATTTAAGAATCCCTCGATCTGAGTGTGCAGGTGGGGATGTGGGTGACGATTTTAGCGGTGGTCTCAGACAAAAGATTGATGTAAATATTATTCCACTCCATTTCTTATATACAAACAGTACAGCTGGAACCTCAGAATAACTACAAGCCATAGTGAACGAAAGGGACCCAACGCACAAACGGAACATGGGTCTTCAATTTCTTTACCGCCAAGTGAAGAGCCTCGGCAGATTCACTGAGATTGGGGAACACGGGCGGGTTGGATTTCGTCTCCGCATTGCGGAAGAGGTGCCCATAGAATGTGTCCGCGACTTCGGGCCCATCGGAATCGTGCATCGTCCTGTGAACAGTGAGGTGGTTATGAAATCAGAGAGAATAATTGGATGAAGCTCACCACATTGTCGCAACCACACTGCGGAACCCCGCGAATAGCAGGGTTGCCGCGAGATGCATGGCTTCATCCGGTAAGTTTTTGTCGCCCGTCGAAGTCTCACATGCGCTCAAGAACGCTAACCCCATGTGCTTGTCAGTAGTTCCACCCCCATCATGTGAGAATCCCGACTGCTTAATGATTTCTGCCACTGTTAAACGCTCGCTGCCTATGATTAGCGCACTTTGGAGAGGCTTCTCAGTGTCTTGAGTCCCGTGGCACGCGAAATGAATAATAGAGGATGTTTGGAGGTGGCGCAACACTGTGCTGAGCGAAGCTGTGGTTCCCAATTTTGTGAGCCATTTGTCCGGAATCTGCCCTTCGATCTTGCGCAACTCATCCTTCGTTGAAGGCAAGCGTGAATGGCCTGGAGTACTGGGCTGAATGACAACAGTGGTTCTGGGCGGGTCATCTGCAGTGAATGATGGAAAGGGGGGAGAAAGAAGTGCTGTGAGAGTCGGTGTATAGGAGGAGATCACGTAGTTCATTACAGATTCGTCGATGGATGGGTCGCCATATATCCCTGCTGCGTGGATGGGGAGAAAAGTGAAAGGTCCCGTTGGACACCACCATAGTCTCGGTGGATTATCTGATTTCTGCCAGATTATCAGGAATGCAATTTACTGGAGAGTCGGACAACTGACCTGGATTTTCAAGGAGTCCAGGACTGGTTTCACAACCAAAATCCACAATTCGATCAGGATGCCACCGAACCAGTCCTCGGGCCGGGCATCCTTCTCGTACACCACTCTTCCCAATAATCGATCGGCCGCAGCCAGGTCATCTCCTCGTTTGTCTAGAATCGCAAGAAAAGCGCTGGGACTGGGAGATGCGAGGGCCCGAATGATTTCAGTCATCGTGCTCACACGAGATCGAGTTATCTCGGGTAAATCGACACATCGAACGTTGCCGAGCGGATCCAGAATCAGTGCATGGCAACGCACTTCCCCAGCATTGAGAGCAACCACGGGCCCATGCTCCGCCGCAAGCCGTAGCCTCTGGATGGGCTTAGGCTGCATGAAGTCCTCAAAGCCTGGGACCGAGGATCTAATAGATTCAACGGTTTCAACCCACTCGTCATTCAAGCGTCGACAGTTGAACCCTTCCGCCTCGAGCGACATTACTGTGGTATGGGTATCGGACTGCAAGTTCCGGGACACATCACGGAAGGAGCTTTGCTCAAGTTTCGACGATAATTCGGTGAGCTTGGTAGCGAGAAGGGGATGGGAAGCGCGGAGATCATCCAGTGGTGTACGAAGATACAGTGATTGAGACCAAAAGACAGAACGCCCAGCTTCGAGGAGCTCAAGAGCAGCCTTGTACTGGCCTAAATCAATTGCACAAACGGCAGCATCTGACCCAAGATCATGGCTCTGTGACGCAACCAGTATTTTCTGGCGAGACATGATATCCAAATCCAATGCTGCAAGGCGAGGTAGAATCCCGAGTGCAGTTTTATAAGCGTCCAAGGCGGATGAGTGATAATTTTTGTGGGATACGGAAGCCCATCGTTTCGCTGCTTGGAAGCGAACCAGTAGAGGGGCCGATGAATCTGTAGAAGCTTCCTCGAATGACAAAATAGCATCAGAGAGACAATTGACTCGGGAGGTTTGCTTGTATAAGGACATAAAATAATTCCCGAGGTTGCTGAGTGAACCACCCCGATATGGATATGGTGCGGGCTGAAGAGCGAGCACCTTGTGACTCAGCTGGATGGCCTCGTCGATATCTGTGGCATCTCCTCTCTGCTCAAACCGCGCGTGGACAGTGATCGCGAGGTTGTTGAGAAACCTGGCCCGATCTGGATGTGGTGCGGGACAAAGAGCCAGTGCCTCGTGATGCAGCTGGATGGCCTCGTTGGTATCTGTGGCATCTCCACTCTGCTTGAATCGGTTGTGGAGAGTGATTGCAAGGTTGTTGAGAAACCTGGCCCGATCTAGATGTGGTGCGGGCCGAAGAGCGAGCGCCTCGCGATTCAGCTGGATGGCCCCGTCGATATCTGTGGCAGCTCCTCTCTGCTTAAACCGCTCACGGAAAGCAAGCGCGAGGTTGTTGAGAGAACTGGCCCGACCTGGATATGGTGCTGGACAAAGAGCGAGCGCCTCGCGATGCAGCTGGATGGCCTCGTCGATATCTGTGGCATCTCCTCCCTGCTGAAACCGCTCACGGACACCAGCCGCGAGGTTGTTGAGAGAAATGGCCCGACCTGGATGGGGTGCTGAATGAAGAGCGAGCGCCTCGCGATCCAGCTGGATGGCCTCGTCGATATCTGTGGCATCTCCTCTCTGCTGAAACCGCTCACGGACAGCAGCTGCGAGGTTGGTGAGAGACCTGGCCCGATCTGGATGTGGTGCGGGACAAAGAGTGAGCGCCTCGTGATTCAGCTGGATGGCCTCGTCGATATCTGTGGCATCTCCTCTCTGCTGAAACCGCTTAGAGACAGCAGCCGCGAGGTTGTTGAGAGAATTGGCCCGATCTGGATGTGGTGCTGGACGAAGAGCGAGCACCTCGCGATGCAGCTGGATGGCCTCGTCGATATCTGTGGCATCTCCTCTCTGCTGAAACCGCTCCAGAACAGAATTCGCGAGGTTGTTCAGTGAAATGCCTCGCTGTGAATGTGTCCGAGGCAAGAGTCCGAGCACTTTTCGATTGCATTGGATGGCTTCTTCAAGGTCCCCCATTTCCCCCCGCTGTGAAAACCTGATACATATCATGGAAGCAAGGTCCCCAGCGAAGGTGATGTGTCGTGGATTCCACACTGGGCACCGCGCCAGTGCCTGTCGCTGGTAGGTAACAGCTCGCTCGATGTCTTGGATTTCCCCCGATAGGTCAAACCGCTTCCAGTGTGCATTACCCAGGTGCGCGAGATAATCACATCTATGAATTCCCCACTCGGGACATTGCCGGAGAGCGTCTGTGAATCTGGCCACCTTGGCGTCGAGCTTGTCCTTCCATATCTATATGTCAGTTCAGCACTCTGAGCAAGAGAATTGACTAAGAAACCGCACCATGACAAGTTGAAATCCCGTAATTACTGTTCCGACCAGTTCTACTCAGTGTTCGAATGTCAATGGGTTTTATATGGAATGGATGAAACATACCTAAGTCGGCGCTGGTCTGTCTCCGACAAAGCTGTGTTACAGCGCCAGCTATTCCTGGAACTCCGGAGACGATCTGATTCAATCCTGTTCCACATCCCAAGATCACACAACATGTTGCGATCGGCCGTCGTTTTCTCGGAACAATCAAGCGGCTGAGCTCGACCTAGAAGCGGGATTGAACAGATGCGGCGCACACAGCACATGCCATGTGCCGCACACTGCGGAAATCCGCAGGACATATCCCTCACGGTTTAACAGCTTAATCACAGCATACCGGTGGAGAGTCCCGACCCTAACGGAGACTCGTCGAGGAGCGCCTGTTTTTTTTCAAAAAAAAGCAGTGAGTTGCTGTAACCAAAATGATTGACCAGACACAAGCACGATCATCAAGAAGAGGCATAGCTGTGAGCCAATCGAGGGCGTGGCAGTGGGCATGGTGTACGAAGAATCACTTCCTCGGTGAAATGATTCCTCCGTAAATGCACGAATGCACTTGCCAGTGGATATGAGAATAGTTGCTGCCATCGAACTCACTTGATGCTGTAATCCGGAAGATATTATTGGATAGCGTCCACGTCGGGGACACCAATCCCTCGTCGACTACGAGAAGGAGCACCATCCTGTAACTTGTCAGCGGATTGTGTACTTTGCGTGATGTAT